CTGAAGGTTCTGATCCTTGCCCTTCAACACATCATTGAGCCCAGCATGAATAATGACTAGATTTTCGCCCTCCATGCTGTTTTCTACAACCTCCTGAGCTTTGGCCAGTGCATCCACCATGCTCTTCCCTGACTGTGCCTCCACCCTGACTCTCCCATCTTCCTTTACTGTCTTGAAGACGCCATCCATAACCCTGGCCACGTTAGAGTCCGCCACCACTAGAACCCTTCTACGCTCCAATCGCTGGCTTCCTGTTTGTGATGGCGCCCCTGTTTGCTTCACATGTTTCTCTCTCTGCCTTCTGTCCTGTGTTTCTGCCCTGTTTGAAGACTGCTGCGAACACACCGCTGGCAGCGCCACTCGGCGCCTATTCGAACGCGTGAAAAATAAACAAACAGAAATTTGTTGCTGGCGCAACCTAAAGCTGCCTCATGTGCATAAAATACAATTTTAATGTAAATGTGTTTGTTTTTAAGCAAAATACGTTTACCTGCGAGGATTTCTTTCTTGTCAAGATTGACCACGTTCGTTGTTGGGTGACGCTAGTGGTCACTTCTTATCGACTTTCAACATCAAGCTAAAATTATAATTTTTTTTTTCTGGCACAAAAGTATGTTCGTTGACGCCGATGTGATGAACGATCTTTTTATTTGCGCCACAATCAGAAAACATTTTCCGAGCGGTAAACAGTCCCTTTAAACAGCGCGTTAAGCGTCGAGCTGTAAACGTTGTTAGCTCTCGTCCTGTGTGTGTTGTTTTCGTGCGTCATTTGTGCGCGAGAAGCGCGCTACACGTTTCGATCTGCTAGCTGTTCTTAGCGTTACATTCCAAGTTGTTGCTATCGCATTCATTGCTTCGCCCTTGCGGCGAAACTGTGGCTTTTTTATTCTCTACTATAAAGACTGCATTGTCGGTAATTTCATCATTATAGGCTATAGTAGAGGAAAAAGAAGTAAAGCTCATATTTTAATTTTTAATTTCGCGCCACAATTTTCGCACGTGACGTCACGAATTTCGAAATGATTTATTAATGTTTTGGCCTCTTGCTCTACGAAATCTTCATAAACTTTGTTTGCCGAGGCTCTAGAGCGGCCATGGCTCTATACACACGGAGTACAACGTACTTAATTTTACCGTTTAGTAAATGCGTAGGCCCTCTAGTGGACGCCTTCAAAATCTACGACGTCGCAGCGATTGATGTGGGAATGTCATGTTGACGTCACCTTTCGCATTTGTTTTGCGCGCGTTATCTTGCCTACCAATTATGGTTTCTTTTATTTACTTGGTAGTGTGAAACAAAATGATAGTTTCTTTATATAAAATTACTGATCTGTTTAGCGTCTTTTATTTAAATGACACTGAACTGAAACAATGAATCAATTGACACAGTGAGTAGTCATCAGCCCGATAATGGCAATTGTATGACATTTGGCGAACTCCTCGATTATCATGATACCTCAAGATAATCGGGGAGTTGCGACATGGTTTTGAGGCATCGCAAAAGAGATTTTTTTTTCTGTTTGCGTACAAAACATTCTACTTTGACTTTGTAAGTTTTAGTCGCCAAGCACTTGCAAGGCAGCCACACTACACGTTGAACATTATCAGACGAGTCAACGCAGTTCGCAGGATTTGAAAACTGGGCCTTCTGTGTGCGACCGAAATCGCCTGTTGGATCCGCCGCTGAATGGCAATTCATTCATCGTTTATCTATGAGCAGCATGCGCAACGGACAACAGCCGACAAAGCTGCTGCTTTTATACATCACGAGCCGCCCATTCCACGTGCATTGATACTATGTGAGACTGTTCATAGTCACTATTATACCGCCTTCTCGCCGTCAAAACCGGAAGATTTTAGTGCATAGCACTCTGGGGCTCAGGCTTGTTCATTCACTGTGTACCATGTCGCGTGGTCACGCGAAAGACAACGCAGGCATAAAAGGAGTCTTAACAATTGCTCAAGACCAGTGCAAAATGAACTACGAAGGTCTAGAATAATATTAACTGCACAAATGAGCCAGAATTAGTCGCAATGATTTCACTAAAATCAAGGAAAGCTGTTCTCAAACATCAGGCTGATACTCGCGCCGCTCGTGGGAGGGCGCCACCGCCTCGGCCAATGTGCGCGTCTCCCGCCGTTGTAGTGCTTTTTTTTTCATTCCGATGTGCTTTTATTTTTGAGCCCAGGACATTGAATACGTCCCCCGATGCAAAGGGACAGGCCACCACAACCCCACATCATCATCATCATCATCATCATGTGTGATTGCTAGGGAATCGCCTGATGCCCGCGTTACACACTTCCTCCGGTTTCACACTAGCTGAGCTGCGCTTAGCGCTTTATTTAGACTGTTTGGAACATCACAGATCGCTACACAGGAGCTCCATTAGAGCGGGCTTTTCTCTATCTTTTTACGCAGTATAAAATGTATGCCATGTGCATTTGAGGCACTGCAATACTATTCAATATTTATTTTTTTGCGAGGGGGGGTTGTCTCAAAATCAATATGCTCTTATTTAGACTAATGATACACACTAGTGTGAAAGTATGCATAATGTTCACTGTAAAAAATACATATTTGTAAACAGTTCAACACGCTTTACCGTTCAAGGTCGCAGTGGAAAAAGAGTTGGGAACCAGCACTGTTTCTCCTACTTCCTTCAATTTCAACTGGGTGAACATGAAGTATGCAATATTACATGTGGATTGTACCAAAAGCGCCTACTTTTTTATTTCATCTTATGTCATTCGGCACATGCCTTTTGCAGCACAAAGAAGAAACACACGTTTATTGCTGATCGTTCACGTCTATTTTATTTCAAAACCATTCTACAAGCACACTTATTACATGACTCGCTTGAGTACAAAAAAAAAAGATGCCTACAGCATCAAGCTGCAATGCAGTTCTGCACAGCACATTGTTTTATATCAGTGCATGAGCAATTTTTTGTAGCCTAACCGGTATGCTTAGACAAAATACTTTCCCACTGTATTACTTTTTTCTGTGTTATGTTGTTTGGCATCACTTAATGTGTACAAATTATTCCAGTTTATTTCTCATTCTGTTAACTTCTGCTAATTTTCTGTCATCTCCACAGTGTACGACTGTGAGCATTCCTAATCATTTGATCGTCTGCACAACTCGTGTGTGTGAACTTCTGCTAATGGTTGATCGTTCTCTAAAGCACCTCGACTGCCTTTTGGTTAAACACTCCAGGCGGAACTGCTACATAGCTAACCATTCATTCTTGTTAGTTAAGCACACACCACACAAAAACAAATGTAAAATGTGTACTACCTATATAGCCCCGTCAACAGCGCCACACAACACACACGGAAATGCGCGACCTATCTCTTTAGATCATCCGTCGTTTTCTGTGTTCCTCTGTTTGTCGTCTGCTGCTGTGTTGAGCGATGCGCGCAGATCAATCAAAACGTGTGCAGCCCCTGACGTGAACACCCTCGTGGAACTTTTGAAAAGAAAAAAAAAACAGAAATATATGTGTACATATATATATAGATTGGAACACCGAACCCTAGTGGTGAGTAAACGTCCTCGGGACCTGCAAAGCAAACACTCTACACTGGTGTTTCAACCGCACACACAGGGTTTGGTGCGTAGTAGTAGGCTCGGGGAACTGCCGGAAACTGCTGGTCTTTCCCTCGAGGTGGCGTCATGAAGTGCACTCATGAGTATCACTGTGCCCGGGCACACTGTTAGATGGATCCCCGTAGTCGTTGATGTGTTTTTATTACCTCTGAATTAAATTATAACACATAACAGGAAGCGCTGTAGTGGTGTTCTTCAGTTTAGGTGTTCTTCAGTTTGACAGAACATCTGAAGCAGCTGACTTGGCGAAGAGAAACCTGATGCCTAAGTGAGAGAACATGAAGCCTAAATCAGCTACTTCATAGTTCCTGTCACTCAAACAAACAAAAAACTAAGTAAATAGATGCGGAATTTAAGAGAACTAGCGATGACAGATCTCGTTTTGATGTTGGCACGAAGAAAGGTGAAAACAAAAATAAAATCTCATGAAACATATGAGCCTTCTCGAAACCAGCGCTGTCTGAGAAACTCTTTAGTGGAACAACATGTTAGTCCTGTGTACCGGGTCACATGTAGTAGATATTTAATCACACCCCTGCACGCAGTAGCTAGAAACGATGAATAATTCATTTTGGTTGTTTGGTTCTGTCGAATGATCTCGTTACATATGCGACATTGACTGAAGCCCACAGCTTTGATTAGTTGACACTGGCGCATGTTTGAAAATTGGAATGTCACAAGGCTGGCTGATACGTCGGCACTTGCTACGCCAACAAGGAGTGCAAACTTGTTCACCCTCGCATGCTGGGCATTCCAGTGACTGCACATGTCATTCCGAAATAACTTGTGAGCAACCGCAGTTAATGTAACTGTACGACACTGTTAGTAACATCGGTACACGTGACAGGTCACCTTGGCCTAAGTCTGGATCAGCATCCACGTATAGTCTTAGCAAATGACGTTAACGACTTGTGACGGAGCCCAGCACATGCCCACGGTCAGTGTCAAAGAAAGTGACGTCAGTTGCACGTCACATGATATAGAGCAAGATTGACAACGTTCAAGCTTCCAAGATCGTCACGTGCCGGTTGCCCGATTGGGTAGTTGCTCTGTTCGCGGGATGACGCTGATGTGTTTTCCCTTAAGCCAGAGTTAATAGGCGGCAATAACTCTGCTTTAAACATGCCTCGTATATAAAAAAATAATAATAACGCCCAAGCCAGGCGATAGATGGAGGACCCAGCAGGGACAGAAAGTAAAATGATTAGAGTGTAAAAAAGTTCTATGTACAGAAAAAGGGTGGCAAAGTCGCTGCGCGGGAAGATATCTTACATCGCGATGCAGCCGCCAGCCGTGAAATTAAATTCATGTTAAGTAATTCATGCAAAAAGTACTTTGCCAGGCCACTTATTATTTTTTTTTCCTGCTTGAAGATAAGAAGTTAAGAAGCCGCTGTGACGTACAAAACACCTTCAACTCTCCACTATTCGTACTATTTGTAACAGTAGCGAATAAAAACAAAACATAAATTAAATTTTCGATCACGTGCTCTTACCAATATCTCATTCTATTTACTGGCTACATTTTACATATGCGATCGCTATCCTTTTCGGGTAAGGCTATCTGTGCTCCTAATTCTCCTAATTGTCGAAGTAACGGCTGTGTGACGAATTTTTCGTCTAACTATATCGTCTCGCTAAGCCTGACGCCTGTTTTCCTGAGCCAATGTGACTGTATAATTCTTTCTTCCCATATAATGTTAAGCCTGACAATGTTTTAGATGCTAAACCTAACGCCTGTACTATCTCGGCCTGGATAAGCTGGTGTGCAAATATTGTACAGTGTTGCTCCTTGGCTTGAGAAACAGTCTGATATCTGCGACTGCCGAAAAAACTATCCGTGCTTCGAAGTGCCAAAATGCGCAGCTATGGTGCTTCCGCGAACATTGTCTTCTGAAGCCTCGAATAATGCTAAGCCTAGTGCGATAAAAAACAACGCTGTGGTACTGATTACATTTCCTTTTTCTTAAGCGTGGCGAAGAAGTTAGGCCTCGCCTTCAACTCATCAGGTTGGAAAGAAACAGCACGCAATTGTGGCGCTTTCATTAGTTCTTACGCTAAGTGTGATTGGCACAATGCTTTGCGCCTGTATACGCTTCCCGGGAAGCCAAACCACACACACACAGGGTTGTGGTTCTTTCCAGCTGTAGCTAAGTATCAGAATTATCAAAGGGAGGGGTTTACAACATAACGGAAGCGGAAGTTGTGAGGGCAGAATCGGGAGACTCTGACGCTTATGTCCGCCCCCGCCCCCCTACTGACCCCGTGATCGGATCCTACGTTTGCAGTATACAAAAGCATAGCCTCTGAGATTTGTGGCTCTTGCTTGGGACAACCTGCGCAAAGCTCCGAATGGACAGGCCCTTTAGACACCACCTAACCGGAGGTTTGCATTAACCGCCGCGTTTTAAATATGAACGAGCCCTCTTAGGCATTTATCCAGTTGGAGAGATTGCTGGGCTAGTTAAACTTGCATCTTAACGAAGTGCAATTAGTGCAAACGAAGCAGTACATAAAGACGATGCAGAGAAGGACATGCACTTATCCTTGCCTGCCTCTTTGTGTCCTGCATCATTTCTGCTAATTTCATTTTGTTAAAATAGCTGTTTCGTCTGGTACAGCTAGAGCGATGACGTCACTGCCATCCGTGGCGACAGCAGAGCCACCTGGCAGGTGTGTTCTCGTGGTGGTGAGGTGTTTTTGTTTGTGCGCACACGTCGAGAAAAAGAGTTGTGTGATGGGGGATGCGTCTCAGTATCCGTACGGCCCGTACTGCGAGCCGTGGTGGTAGGCGTATGGTCCTGGATAGGCGGCGTAGCCGTACGGCTGTCTCTTGTCGGGGTAGACGGGCATCAGGTACTGCATGTTCTTGGCCTGGTCGGCCTTCTTCTCGCGCCTCAGGCAGCGCGCCGATGCCAGGAAGAGAATGCCCGTGAGCAGGCTGGTGCCCACTCCGGCCCAGGCAAGCATGTACGACCAGCCGTAGGCGAAGTCGGTCACTCCCTTGCGCCGCAGGATCTGGGAGAAGAGGATGGAGGAAAAATAGCATCTCAGCTCTGTGTACAGGCGGCGCCAAAAATTTAGAGATCATTGTAGTCAGTAACAGATTAGGAAAAAAATGTCAGTTTACACAGCCATTGCTGTCCTTTCCACACAAAGTTTGCATAAATTCTTCACACAAAGTAGAGTACTCACGGCTGGCCAGGAGTAGACGGACTGACTGTCGTGAAGCTTCTTGAAGTCGTAGTACTCAACACCGTGCCACAGTCCCATCGCACCTGCCACTGTCAAGGCTGTAAGAAGAAAGAAAAAAAAATGAGCTGTTGCGATTTGAGATGGTGACAATTATTCCGCCACAAACAGCAGACAATGGTCGGGGAATTGCAACGAACAAGCTCAATACATATCGACTGGCTCTTGCTTCTTCACTGAGGAAGAAACATGCATACTTTCGCATTTTGATTCAACAGTGATGCTGTTCTCTCGCTCAAAGTCGCCGAAGTTCGCTAAGAAATTCTTCGCATTTAAGAGAACCGCCGGACGTTACTATGGGGATTGGTGCGAGTCGTTCAAAAATTCATTTTTCGCGTGGTTACACGGGACAGGTGGTGCCATCTAGCGGGGCGCAGTTGCAACAAAAGTGTCTGCAATCTCGGAGCCTATGGCGGGAAATTGATTAATGTCCGTTGTTGCTGCTGTGGCTCTCGCTGCTTTCGGTCTGCTGCTGCTAGCGCAGTAAAGCCGGGCAACGTTGCGCATGGCAACAGTGACGTGAGTCGGTCCGCTTCTTGAGGCGGGCAATTTGAAGTGCGCTAATCTGATGCGGAGCACTAAAACGCGTTTTTTTTTTCCTTCCAGATAGGCCCTTCCTTGGCCCTAAAGTAACACTACGAGGTTTCTAAACGACCGTTTCAACAATAAACTTCGACGTAATAGGTGACATTACTGTCCCTTTTCCACGGAGCCGAAAGAATGGAGCTTAGGCAAATCCGTGTACTGCCCATCATCCTGACGCTGACTCAAGTGCTGTTTGTTGAAGCCCCCATAGACACTAGCGCAAGTTTTCTCTTTAGGTGTGCTGTTATAAATCTGTATACGGCCAGACCCACCCGTGGCCCATAGCTGCGAGCGTGGCACATTCTTTTGTTAGCGCACAAAGCTGCATTCGCAGCTGGTGATTGCCGACAGCGAAGCCGGGATTGTGTTTACACTGATCCCTGCTTGGTCCCGTGCTGGTGTATCACACGTTGGCACGACAACAGGGGAAAAAAAAGGGGGGGGGGAGTTTTTGAACTGGCACCGTGCCCGCGTGTCGGGGACTCCTGCTGAGCGACGGACAGCTGTCCACCCCCAATGTGCATAAACAAACCGGAACGCACAAGGTAAAAGGGGGGCGTGCACTCAATTTAGAAGACACACCCATCCGCCGCAACTGTAGTGCGTTTACTGCCAAGCGTCGCGACGCGCACCGCGTTGGTTCGCTGCGCAGCACCGTTCCGCTTCGACGAGACAATCGTTATCGCGAAATAAACCAGAGGGCGCTCCGAGTCGCACGCTCACTGCGTATAGAATAACCGCCGGGCATTACTATAGGGAATGGCGCGAGTGGTTCGAAAATTCAATTTTCGCGTGGTTACACGGGACAGGTTGTGCCATCTAGCGGGGCACATTTGAAACAAAAAACCTAGGGATCTCCGTGCCGTGCGAAAGACAAACACCGTTGCGCATCCCGCTGCTAACGGCGTCGGTATGTGTTCGTCGAATGGGAAAAGAATGAAAGAGGCATGTGGAACACATATAAGGTCTAGAAAGCCGTAAAATAATAATAAAAAAAACTTCTAGTGGTATAGATCAGTTGTCTGGCTACCATGTTCAAGTTGTCTGGCTACCGCGTTGGAAGTGGTCAAATGCAAAGTTAAAATATGAAGTTTGAGTTATCATTCCCTGTCGTTATTATCATGAGGTGCAGCACAATGGGGGGGGGGAAGGGTAGGAATTAATTTTGAGCGCCTTAAGTTTCTCAACGTACAAGCATATTTGACCCTCTACCTTCGTTTTTCGCCGAAAACTGTCAATTATTGAATGACCACGTCATGACCCGTTTGAAGAAACGAGGAGAGCCTGTCGTGTACTATAGGTCTGTTCTTATTACTCACGGTTTGATTCCCGCCGCGTTAGTCGGTACGTACGGTTTGATAATAAGCGAGATAACTGCGTAGAACTACCTTTATGTGTGTTCACGTGAATGACATGTAACCGCTGTGGAACCGGTTTATCCAAGCAGCTCCGAAACGGAACAGTGCACTTCGAGCAGTTCCGGAGTGGTCCGCGTTAGTTCTCGTGATACGCTTTTGGTAAATGATTGACTTCAATGTATAATTATTAACAATATTAACAGCAACTTCATTTGTTGGTCAGAAACATTTGAGACTCTCTTCGTTCTGCAATTCTGCCCGCCGTCATTCGTCTGCTTTGAGGCGAATCGTGTGCAGACGATTGCGTCGTTCACTTAAGCCTAAAAAGCAAGGCTGAGCGCTGAAATGCGTCGCTATGAAGTCGTTCCGATATTCGTACTACATCACGTTCACTTACGCCTGTACCCGAGGCGTTCCTCGGCAATCAACCTTGTGCAGCGGCCGTTGTACGCGTAACGCACGAGCCGCGCATGCGAATTAAAAGCACGCATGCGTGCAACCGACCGCCCTTACGTCGTTTTATTCAAAGTTTCCCGTCTACCCGTTGTGTTTTTTCTGCTCGAAACACTTCGCAACACCCTCGCGAGCGTCGCATTGTTCCGGCGTGCTAAAAACCCCGGCATGCGTCGACCCTTTGCGCTGCGCCCAAAAGGCCCGCTCAGGGGTGTCAGCGTTGGCCTCGATGCCGGTTGAACAAAAACTGCGCTTACGCAGACGTCTGGCCTCTGCGCCTGTCACGGCTTCGTTTCGCGCGACGTGCGCGCGCGCATGCGCAGTTGGGTGCAGCCAGCAGACGACAGCGTTTCGGCGATGGCTGAGGATGCGATACGCGTGAAGGCATAGAGTTTCTCAAAATTAACTAGAGGGCATTCTGGCGCTGCGATCGTTCAGCGACCATGGAAATGATGGGTAGTTCACACATTTGCTTAGTCTTCGTACTTGCGGGCGGCGAATCGTACTTGCAGCTTTGTTTATTGCTGTGTTTCGGTTTTGTTTTGAAAGAAAGAACGAACCCTTTTGAACTTAGGAACCTGATTCGAAATAGTAAGCCTAAAAGAATAAGGTTGTGAAGCACAAACGGTGAACATTTGCTAGTTTATGTTTTCGTGAAAAAACAGCTCCAAGCCACACGAACACACACGGAGCCAGAAGCAGGCCAAAAGTACGAAAATTAGACAAATGTGTGTACTACCCATCATTCTCATGCTCGTTGAAGTGCCGTGCGTTGCAGCTCCCATAGACACTAGCGCCAGAGTTCCCTCTAGTTAGTATTGTGGGAAACTCTATGCGCGAAGGAGCCAAATGAGCTTTTTTTTTTTTTTTTTTGCAATACCTGATGCTGACGACGCATAGCTGACGCTGCGGTATCGGTTTTGTGATCTTAGTGTGAACCGCAGCAGCTGAGCGGACGATATCGACAGCCGGAAAAGCGGCATTTGGCTGCCACTGCATTCCGAACTTGGGCACACCGACTGCAGCTGAATAGAGAACGACCTATTTTCGGGGTTGGCTGAAGCTGTTGAATGTACACTCAGTGTAAACTGCGGGCATGCGGACAGATGACACATTTTCGAGCGACAGCTGCAGATGCAGACGGCATTTAGCAGACATGGCGGTGTCGGTCTTGTCGTGTTATAGTGTTTATCGAATGGACAGACGACAGGTTTTCGGCGATAACTGAAGCTGATAATATCTGGGGTTTTACACTCCGAAACCGCAATGTGGTTATGGGTGACGTCGTAGTGGAAAGTTTCGGAAATTTTTACCATATAGTGTTTTTTTTTAACCTGCACCGACATAACGCAGCGCACGGGCCTCGATCTATAGCATTGTCTTTCAATCCAAATCCGATTGCCGCAGCCGGGGCCGAATCCGCAACTTTCGCGTCAGCAGCTTAGCACCTTATCTATTTCAACCGCTACACCACCGCGGCAGAAGCTGCAACTGGCAACGATGCTGTGGTATCGACTCTTATGTTAGTGTGAATGGCAACAAATGAGCATAATATACGTTATTTGTGTGTGTGTGTGTGTGTGTGTGTGTGTGTGTGTGTGTGTGTGTGTGTGTGTGTGTGTGTGTGTGTGTGTGTGTGTGTGTGTGTGTGTGTGATATTTCAAGCAGACGACACTTGGCTGATGCTTCGCGGTATCGGCTTTGCTATGTTGCATTGCTTGTCCCTGTCTGTACGGGACTGTATGTGCATTTCCCTACGTGTTACCTTCCAAACACTACTTTGATTATACTTGCTATATTCTTGACTATTTCGTTGTTTAGCTTGTTGTTTGTTTTTTCTTTGTGTGCGCTCCTACTTATAGAATAACCCAATAGGGGCATTTAAGGGTTAGGAGATCGTGACGATGATGATGATGATGAGCAGGCCAGTTTTCAGCGACGGCAGGAATATAGATGGCCCTTCATTCACCTGTATTGAGATTGGATATAGTTTGGCAAATGCGCATGCCAAACCGCTCATTGGTTATGCACACATCAACAGCAAAGACGGAAGTGATCACCAGAGTGAAATCGTAGAATGCGAAACTATATCAATCAAGCGAACATTGTGACAGTTCATCATCAACATCTCTATTCGATGAAAAAAAAAAGATCTTTATTCTGTTATAGATAGCTAAAGTTGTCATGCCTAGCGTTCTTCTGACACCATCGTCCTTATTCTACGTGCACTGCTCATTTATTGTATTGCGTTCTGTTGGAAAGAGCTTTGATACGACGACCTCTTTGGAACGGTTCCAGCGCGGCCGCTGTCACACTGGTTTGAACTGTTGTGAACTAGCAGGTGACATGCTTTCTTTTATTTTGTTTTTTTTTTTCAAGCATTACTGCTGCTTTTATGCTAACGCATTATCTGCATCTCGATGGCGTGGGTGTAGCTCTTTGCTTTCAGCTGCCACTTTCGGCTTTACGGCCTTACGGGCTTTGTGATTCGTTTTCTCGATACACTGTCGAAACAGGGACCCTCTTACGTGAGCCGATTAGTTAGCAGTGCCCGCGGCTGCTGCTCCACCCCATACTTTCTGGCTTACTTTTTTTCTTTGTTGGTATAGGTGGCGGGGCCGGATTATAGGTGGCGGGGCCGGATT